AGAGAGAGGAAAAAGACATGGATGAAAAGAGAAAGAGGCGGAGCCACAAGTCAGCCCCGCCACCTGTGGTCCAACAGATTGGATGACCAGTGACACAGCATCTTGGCCAAAAAAAAAGAGAAAAAGGGCAGAGATGTGCCTTCAAACAGCCTCGCTCTCATTAAAGCCTCATCCAAACCAGTGGAGCTGGAGGATCCTGCCTCTGGCAGTGGAGCTGGGGGATTTTTGTGGAGCTCTGAGCTGATCAGATAGGCTAGGAAAACAACATCCGTCCACTTTCACACTCCAGTGGAAGAGGTGGTCCCTCCCGGCAGGGCTGCGTAGTCTTGCCATCTGGAGAATAAATCGAGTGTGAAGTACAGTATAGTTTGGGACCAAGCTGCGTGGCGGCAGCTCAGCAGTTAGTTCATTAGTTCCAAACTTCCAGGGATTGGTTGAGGGGGGAGCGTGGAGCGGGTTGGCCGCCGGGTGGAATGCCCCAAACTGAGCGGTGGTGTATAGGGCACCTCTAGCACAACACACACAGATAAACAAACTCACCCCCGGAGAGAGAGAGAAGACAGGTGTAGCCATCAGCGCTAGTGGAGGGACAGGGAAAGAAACACACCCCACCCCCAACCACCAAACACTCTCTATGGAGGATACTTTTATGTAATAACTGCGTGTTTGTGTTCAAGGGCTTGTGTGTGCGCTTGTGTGCGCGCTTGTGTGCGAGAGCTGCTGTCCTGGGTAGCAGTTAGCCATCCCAGGTAGCACAGGTACTCAACGACCAGGGAGCAGTTACAGATCAGATATTTACAAACAATTACAGACAATTTTTAACCTCACAGTGTTCCAAAATTTCAATTGGAGACCAATAAAATACGTCTATATTCACAGTTTTGGGGTTTTCTGTACACATCATGTCTGCACGAAACTGGTGAACTCTTGATATTACATGGTTAATGACCGCTTTGTGTTATGTTTGCACAAAATGATTTATGTTTGTTGCAAAACAAGAATGGCTTAATCATGATATAATGCTAACTATTAAATGGTATATTGTTCAACTTCAGTACACATTGGAAACATTTTACTTGGTTTTTACTTTAGTCTAGTGCCTGTGCTATTCATATCACACCATATCACATTCAAACCATATCACACCAAATATACAATCAAGGAATGCACATTCAAAATTATTTTGAAATTAAATAGATATTTGGAAAGGAAAATGGGAAAATTAAAAAAACAAAATTAGTATTAAAAAGCAATTAGTATTACAGTGCCACAAAAATTCAGCAGCGCACAGAGGAGTACATCTAAAAAAGTGCATTTATTATTCAAAAATAGCCAATGAAAATAAGAAGGTTTGGCAAGTCAGATGAGTAGCTGCCCCTTCAGATGAACTAATGACCTAACAGAGCTAACTCATACAACTCTGGAGGACTCCTCATCTTCCGTACAAGTTATTTTCTCCTTAATGGATGATAGTTATTTTGTGTAAGAAATGTTTTCATTGCTTCTGGGCTTAGCCAACATCAGCTGGAGTACTTAGCCTAGTTAGGGAAAAAGCTGCGTTAGAGCTGGCCATGCTGCAGAAGCAAAGTAATTTTAGCCTTGTTCTGCCTTTTCTGTTACGTCCCTAATAAAACATCCTTGGAAACGCACTCACATTAAAGACACTTTGTAATTTGTAGTGCAAAAATATAACACGCTTTTGCAAAAAATACAGGTAAAACTGTCACTCTTTACAGTACTGTTTCATTGAGTTTTTAGCTTGTAACAGTATCGCCGATATGCCTCTTGGTTTCCCTCAAGGGACTCTTATTTACACCTTAACATTTTAACTAGGAATGCATTAATACCATGTTTTTCAAACTTGTAAGCTACATAGAATTAAGTTGTTAGGGTGAAAGTGTGTGATCTACCTTAACAGTTAAATCATTAAAATCTAGCTGGTTTTAAAGGAAGTGTATTAGACTACAATAGCTACCTTGAATCGATTAGCGCTGCAGTGGAGAGGAGTGGGTTTGGTTATATAATAGAAAAGTACTCCAGCTTTAAGTAAAATACATTTTATAGTTTTGATTCCCACTCCTCATCCTTCTCTTTTAACAACAGTCTCTGCATCACAGTGACAGCAGGAATCACATCCAAGGCTAATGTGGAATTTTACGTCTTCTTGGAGTTGTTTGATTGGCTGGTTGAGCTGTAGTCGAACGTTATCTAAAGTCAGGCATACACTGTGCAATTTTAGAAGTCTTTCTTTGGTGACACTGTACAAAAAAGCTTAGACTATGCTGTACGAAACGCAGGCTCCATATAGACAGCTCTCCCTGCAAAAAAAAAAAATCAAATCAAGTTGTTTCATTCAAAATAAAGTACTGAGTAAACAAGCTGAGAAACTGAGCAGCTTTGCTAACACTGTGCCCTGAAATGTACATGGTAGGACAATACAGTCTCTCTACAGCCCATTTTACAAATACAGTTTTAAAAATTAACGTTTATATCTCACAGCTCTGTTCAGTTAAACAAAGTAAAGTCGGCATATACGGACTTTAGTAGGAAATGGTGCCTTTTTCAACCTCTGTTTTGCTGGCCTACATTTCTCCTCCCATATTAAGGAAGCGGTTGTGATTGTGTGTCAAAAAACAGGCTAAAATTCCCGGTGGGAATATACCAAGGCGGAATATTTAAAGTGACCAACAGCTTTGTGTCCAACCTCCAAAATCTGTATGAACAGACCCTTATTCACTGCTAGCTTGAGTCATTTATTCATTAGTGAGGCACTGTACACTAGGCTTATGTCACATGGTATCGGCTGGTATCAGATGTTGGTTTGGGTGGATTTTTATGAGTATGAGTAAATGAGCACGGTATTGGATGGATACCCAATTCCAGTATCAGTATTGATGCATCCCTATTTTTAACACACAAAACAAAAATTGAATTAAACATTGATCTCTGAATTAAAATTTCATAAAATTGATATTATGTTACAATCTGGTAAAGCAAGCACCACGCTTGAAAAATACTATCAGAAACTATAAATCTGATTTATATTCAACATTACAAATAATGTGCTTCAGTAAATCAAATTAAACATGCACACAAGGCACATATACAAACCTTCCTTATTTTCGCTGTATCAAAAAATTTATCATACTGAGTCACCACCATATCAAAACAAATCGAAACTTGAATTTTTTGTCGTTACACCCCTACTGAATAGCGATTTCAGGATTTGGTTATCAGGTTACAGAACACTTCAGTATCTGTGCACATAAACAATCATGAATATATTTGTATATACATGATTTACAGATTCATAAAGTAGTTGCTATAGGACTGTGTAGTATATTGTGATTTTCAGTGGCACACGCAAAAGAGAATGACTGTAAACAAAAAAGCGTACGTCAGTAAGCAATGGAGTATTTTGGAATCCCGCAAGCAGCGGAATCAATCCTTCATCAGATGGCTTTATCAGAGCGAGAATTCTGGGTGTTTCTGTTTTTTTCTCTTTTTCTCTCTCTCCTCGCAGGCGTATGAGTGCAACAGAGCTGCAGGAGGAAGTGTCATTTAGCGGCATGGAAAAATAAAACGTCTATCTATAGGTACACACAAACCCCCATGGATTTCCAATTGCCAGGATGGGAAAAACAGCCGAGCGAGTGGGAAGTGAAAGAGAGGGAGCTGCAGAGTGAGGTGCTTTTTATTATTGAGTTAATAACTCATTTTTACATTACGCACTTGTGCCTTAGCAAATAAATAATGGATCACAGCTTTTGGCGTACAGTGCCAGACTCTTTAAAGCTAACATATGGTCTTTAAAATTGACTGCATCTTGTACTGAGGACTGTAAGCGCTTGTAGCCTTGACAGATTTATACCATCAAAAAGCTGAGGAGTAATAGGATTATTTGCTGGGGCTCTCCGCGCAATACAAATGTTATATTTCAGGGTGAGCTATTAGCATTTTTATCTAAGAGACTAGAGAGAGTGTTAATTCTATCAAGCCTGACAGGAACACGTGCTAGCACAGAAAAGACTGCTCTGCATGGGGAGAGAACCAAGGCCCTTCCCTAATGCTATTTTCCTCCTCTCAGATCACCTGGCCTAATATTCTTCAGCAGAATAATCCTATACAGGCAGAACACCACTGAAGAAATTTATTTAAGAATGGTTTTTTATATATTTGTTCTGTGTCTTTCCTAACACGCAAGCAGCACTTAAGATTTTTTATGTTAACGGAAATGTTGCACTTTCAAAAGCACTATTTTGGTACTATTTCCAACTATCAATAGGCAAAAAGAAATGTGACAATGAAACCCACAGTTTGCTTTGAATGGCCTTCAAAGGCCCGATTAAGACATTACCAAGGCACCTCAGTGACACAAAAGACACAAAAACGTTAAGCTAGTATTATTTTCAAGCATCACTGGACACTTCTGTGACATTATCCTTTGAAAACCTTTCTCCATTTAGCAATGAGAGAGAAATAAGGGGGTGTTTGGAAAACACTGAGCTCCATCACCTTTTTCAAGGGGTCACAGTTGTCCATCAAGCTGAAACTCTCTCAATCAGGAATAGCCTCTGGCCATATCAATCATCTTTATTATCATGACTTAAAAACCTTTGTTAGGTGACTTCTTCCCCCCAGCCCCTCTTTATCCCACGCTCCAATCACAATTTCATGGCAAGGCAAACAGGGCCAATTGGCTGGCTGTGTGGGCGGGTCGAGAATGCTTTTAACCTGCTGCATCTGCCGACTTCCTGCTGCTTTCCCAGTGTGAAGTGGGCACCTTGTTTCAAGTGAATGTGATAGAGGGGCATTTCTTGCCTTTATCATGACATAATGGGAAGGAAATGTGCTTGTTTTAAGCACAGTGCTTGGCTAGCTTTATACAACGCGATTAAGCACCAGCACCTGGCTGAATAGGGGCAGTAAATGATTTGGTTTCTGCATGCCATAGAGTCAGGTGCTGAAGGATTAATGACAGTTGTAGTTGTGGTGGCTACCTTCTTATTAAGGGCAACGCCATCCTCGCAGTCCAGAACTGCACAGTCCACGTCCAGCAAGGTGAGCTTCCTAAGCTTGCGCTCGTCGTTGCCCGGTACATAAAGAACGGCCCGTCGTGGTATGTACTTCAGAGATGTTCCTGAGGTATGGTGACATCGCCAACTGCTTTGGTGCCATACCGCTAGAAGCAGCCTCTGGGTCAACCTATATAACAAATAAACAAACAAATAATTAATCATAGGCATGACTGAATGGAGTCAATGTAGCTTTGGCTGTGGTCTGTTTGCACAACTTTAAATTGATATTGTACATTTTTATATGACAAGCAAACAAGAAAATAATAAAAGTAAGGTAATCAGCTGTTTCTATTAAACAAATATTATCATAAGGGGGTGGGGTCTATGTAGCTGAGGTTATGATCTGTTTGCAGGATGGTAAATAGTAATTTCTATAAAACAAACAAATAAACAAAATCACAAGCATGAGGGAATGGGGTCCATGTAGCTTCAGTTATGGTCTGTTTGTACTATGGCACTTTTTTTCATACATTATACAAAGATGTAAATAATCATGGGCATGATTAAAAAGAGTCTACACAGAATTGACTGTCTGCACTGTAATGTGTTGTTTCTATATACCTAACTAACAAACAAACAAGCAAATAATAATGTGTATGAAGGAAAAGAGTCTATGTACCATTGGCTGTGGTTGTTTTCACTATGGTATTTACTTGTTTCTAGAAAAACAAACAAACAAATACATAAACAAGCAATCATGGGCATGGGGGTCTACGTAGCTTTGCTTAATGTTTGCACTATGATTATCATCTGGTTTTATAAAACAAACAAACTAACAAACAAACAAGGTCATAGGGGATAGGGTGTATATAGCTTTGGTCAAGGTCTATTTTCACTATGGTAATTACTTTTTTATATACATTGTACAAACAAATAAATAAACATGACCATGATTGAATGGAGTCTATGTAGCTTTGGCCATGGTCTGTTTGCACTATGGTAATTGGTTGTTTCAATATGACACATGAACTCCAGTGAAAGCTAAGAATGGAGGCTATCTGTGTCTTCATCTCCTTCCTTCCGATACGTTTAACACAATGACAAAACAAAGTTTGTTTTCCTCTAAGCCCCCCATTCAAGTGGATGAGTGCTGCTGACCTGAGCTTTGAGCGCCTTTATCACCCACAACATCACAGCCAATTGTTCTCCTTTAATGCTAATACACAAAGGCTTAGCAGCTCCAGCTGAATAAATCTATTTAGGGCCAGGGCCACTCTGGGCTGAAAGAGACAGAAACAGAAAGGGATTACAAAGCCCCACAAAATAATTAAAGTTTGGACAACACAACAAATCTCCATAATACTTTCAGCTAATTACTCCTGGAAAGAGAGCTAGCGAGCAGCAAACAGTAGCATAGCTAATCTAAACAATGAAAGCTCTGCCACGAGAGCCAAGATCTCCGTTTCACAGAGCCTAATGAAAGCGCTGCTTTATTGCTTCAGCTCTTTCCAACACATTTTATCACATGCACCAGTAGTCGCAGTTATGGCACACACGTTTTAATTATTTGTTCTGTAGGTCGGCCTGCTCAAACAATTAGTGCTAATGAATGGGCCAAATAATTGGGATCACATATAGCTAATTATACCCAGGAACAGTCCTCGCCTGGCTGTTCCTTCCCATTGCTCTCAGAGGGATAATATCAGTAGATTGTGTTCCTTTTCCGTCCAGTGAGGGGGGAGAAGAAAAGGAAGGAGGGGGGGCACTGGGTTTTGGAAGAAAAAGGGGGTAAAGTATTCTCCTTTCTGCCTTTGTTGTCTAAAGTAGCTAAAGTCACTTCAATAGGCACTTAATCCCATCCTCCACGCTTGCAATTGCCTTCCAGTATCAATCAGGCATAATCTCAACTAAGATGATGCAGCTATACCAAGCAATTAAAAGCAATTCAGGTAGTTATGGCTGCGAGCACTTTGCGGGCCCAAGTACACAGAGCCTCCGCAGGGATCCTGAATGCTGTAGTGTTTAAATTTGGCCAAGAACAATGCCTCTCATGGGGATGAGAAAGGAATATGCAAAAGCTTCTCTTTGGCATGGGCTAAGAAATAAGGAGAAGGGGGGGGAACCCACCATCACATGAGAGACAAAACCTAACCTAAAGCATTTATAATCACAGGCAAAAATTAGAATGAGCAGCAGAATCAGACAATAAGCCTAATATAGAAGGCTGGAGGACAGAACGTGGGCAGTATATATACGCGTATACTTGTGATTAACCACATTATTAATTGCAACACTTCATTGCAATTAATCTCGTTTGCTCAAATTTAACCCTTAAGAATTTTTTCCATTTAAACAGCAGTGCATTTTGTTGTAGTTATATGAGTGGACAAAGTAGGCCTTATCAGAATGTATTTATAACTTTCAATAATTAAACAATATACTTTCATTGTGTGATCACATCACATGAACCTGAACATGAAAATCATGTGATTTACATAGAGTGAACGCAGTTTCCAATTTTCTTCCCTGACATCCAGTGGCTGCATGTTATTTAACAGTGTATATCATATCATGTATACAGTTAACTCCTCCATGATTGTAGGCAGTTTGAGGATTCTTGTTGCAGTGGAGGCTCTCTGGGGAAAAGCAGCTTTCCACTTTGCTGTTGTTTTTGATAGTTTGCTCCTTGTTGATTTACCCACAGTCTCCCGTGAGCACTGCCCACTGAAAGTGCTGAAGATAATGTTTTAAAACACAACTTTTAAAAGCTATATTTGAATGAGAGGGCTACAATTGTAGATTCTACCACAGCAACATACAGCATGCAGTTAAGCTCCAGCCTGTACTACTACAGATTGCTTCAAGAGTCAAACTAGGAAAAATGGTTAACAGTGTTAAAATAATTAGTTAAAATACCAACGCAGTGAATACACAGTCCAAACGTTTGAGACCACAGGTTACAATGCTTCTATTTTGCATTGTTTTCTAATTTAATACAAAGTTTTTGCCTCACAAGTAATATTATCACATTTTTTAGGGTTTGTCATAGCACTCCTTTGCTTTAATGAGGGCATGCCCTCAAGTTGGCAAGGATTCCACAACTTTGTATAAAGCCTCTGATAAGTAGATCAGATCAAGCAAGTCCACCAGAGACTTGGTTGAACATGCTTCAAAAAGAAAAAATCTGATCTTTTTGTACAAAGATGTTAACACAGTCAATGTTAAATCTGAATAGTCACCAAAATATTTCTTCTTCATCAAATGCCATTTCACACAAATTGTAGACACACACCCATATATATACACCGATCAGGCGTAACATTCTGACAACCTCCTTGTTTCTACGCTACAGTACTATTTGGGTGGTGGAGCATTCTCAGCTCTGCAGTAACACTGACTTGGTGGTGGTGTGTTAGTGTGTGTTGCGCTGGTATGAGTGGATCAGACACAGCAGTGCTGCCAGAATTTTTAAACACCTCAGTGTCACTGCTGGACTGAGAACAGTTCACCAACCAAAAATATCCAGCCAACAGCGTCCTGTGACCACTGATGAAGGACTAGAGGATGACCAACACAAACTGTGCAGCAGTAGATGAGCTATCATCTCTGACTTTACATCTACATGGTGGACTGACAAGGTAGGAGTGTCTAATAGAGTGGACAGTAAGTGGACGCAGTGTTTAAAAACTCCAGCAGCACTGCTGTGTCTGATTCACTCTTACCTGCAGAACACACACTAACACTCCATCACCACGTCAGTGTTTCTGCAGTGCTGAGAATGATCCGACACCCAAGTAGTACCTGCTCTGAGAGGGTCCATGGGGGTCCTGATCACTGAAGAACAGGGTAAAAAGGGGCTAACAAAGTATGCAGAGAAACAGATGGACTACAGTCTGTAATTGTAGAACTACAAAGTGCACCTATATAGTAAGTGGAGCTGATAAAATGGACAATGAGCGTAGAAACAAGGATCAATGGTCATAATGTTATGCCTGATCAGTGTATGTACATACAGCAGCGGCATCAACACAACCATTTCAGTGTAAAACTGGCTTCCAAATGCAATTAAAGAACAGATTTTATAACAAATTTTATAACAGAAAAAGCCCAAGAGGACAAAAAGGGCTCCCTTGACAGACAGACATTAGAAAGATGCTGAGAAAGTGAGTCTGCTTTGTTTCGTCCTTACTCTATCGTTTGTTTTTTGGAGGTGGGGCAAACAAACAGCCCATTACAGTAGAGATATTTGCTGTTTTCCTAACACAGCCCAGGCTTTTGAAATGCACAGGCAGAATCTAACCTCTCACACAGGGACCTGTGCCTTGGGCTGTTTTGTGCAGCAGGGGTTAACATTGATTGCGTGTTCACGAGCAGTAGTACTGTTCACAACATGGCTACAGGAAAACGTGCAGACCTTACCAGACTCACCTACTGAGAGACTCCAAGAGGGATGTACAGTCATTACACAGAGAAAGGAAGGTGAACTCTTCCTCTAGAAGTAAGTCAAAGGTCCTACACAAGCAGAAACATTCTTTCCCTCCCTCTACCAAACTAATACAAGCCTAAGCTACAGACATTTAGCCTTCTCTGTGCTGGCTTCAAGCCTCCAGAGGGTTTTCATTTACAGCCACAACACGCTGTTAGGAGCTTTAGGTACAATAAACATTTTTTATGACAACACAAAGCAAGCCCAAGAATCTAAATCAGCTTAAAATGTCATCTCGCTCAAAGATGCACTCTCAAAAGATGCTTGTACTTTCAGTCTTTTTACAGGCATACTGAAGAATGTCATGTTCTGTCTCCTCCATACTCTATCAGAAGATAAACCCAGAGCTGGTCAGCAGTGATTTAAAGCTCACTGAACACATGCCAAATATGTTATGGCAAAAATACATCACAATATTTACAGACATTTTTTCAATGCCACTCATGACAATAGAAGAATCAGTGGTGTCCCAAACACTATGAATACAATGATTTTTATTCAATGTTTCACATACTGCACTGCATTAAATCCAGGTAAAAAAGGGAAATTATGCTGTCTCTGTAATGAAACACGGAGTTGGTCAATACCCTTTAAGTACTGATGATACCCACGATACGCTCAGAAAAGCATATTATCACTGTCGCTATTGTCACTCCAAAATGCTAAAAGAAAAAAAAAAACTTTTTTTTGTTTTTGGAGTA